AGAAGAAGAAGAAGAAGAAGAAGAAGAAGAAGAAGAAGAAGAAGAAGAAGAAGCAGAAGAAGAACAATAACAACAATAACAACAACAACAACAACAGAAACAACAACAACGAGAAGGAGGAGGAGGAGGAGGAGGAGAAGGAGGAGGAGGAGGCGGTTAATGGTGATGGGGATAATGATGATTTTGTGTGAAACTCATCAAACTAGTCATTCTTTGTTCATTTTGCAGAAACAAGGCTAGTCATACGTTAAATGCTTTCCGCGTTTTCTCTAGGATCTTACATCTAACTAACTTTGGGAAGATGATGGTGGAGACGGCACCAGCATCTGTGGTGTAGCACTAGGTGCTTCTCCGTAGTAGCACGCAGAAGAATTGAGTTCGATTCCCGTGTGATGATTATCTTTATCGACTACTTCTGTCTTTCTGCTGGGACGTTGTGTCCTTCTCAGGCCAGGTTATCACTGCCTGCCTCCTTACTGATTTAAAGTGGGTCGATTGAGGTGCAAAACAACTGCACTTTTTTTTTTAATCTGGAAAAGTGATAAACAGTCGAACAGAAGAGTCAAACCAAAGCCTACTTCTACGTATAGAAAAAAATCAACTGTTATTCTTGCTGACATTTTTTACATACACATAAGGTGTTTTCGCTCCTCCGATTTTCTTAGTCGATTCGATCATGCAAATCTGACCAGTAGGATAAATGTGAACCCCACTTTAGGATGCTGCTATCGTAGTGGGAGGAGGTCTTTTGCACACAGCTGTCTGAGGACCCCAGTGCATGTTGGGACTGGTCGGGCAGTAGCACACATCTCCGTTAGCGGTGGTCACTGTCTCGCCAACATGCATGAGGGTTCCGTCAGAAGATCTGCAGTTGGGGCCTGAGTGAAGACAATAAAGGATCGGTTCACAATCTGCTAGATGAAGGGCCCTCTGTATGCGGGCTGTCCATCTTGGACATAAAACATCCTTGTGGGAATAACTTTTATTACAATTTCCTAGTTTGTTCCAAATATTGACACTGAACAGGGTTTTTTTTTGTGTCTGAGCGGGTTAAAAAAGAGGTTTGCATGCGGCCACACATACTCATGCTTTTCTCTGTCTTTGTTGCTTAGTTTGAAATATTAGCTGAATTACTGTATATTAATTTTTCATGAGCCTGACTTGAAATTAGGATAAACGAATAATAATCAAGATGGTTAGAATAATATACGGACGACAATAATTTAGATTATGGGACAACGCTGATTATGTCTACTGTCTGACTGTCAGGAAATGGGACTGTGCTGTAAGTAAGATAATTTTTGGTTGCCACTAGTGAAGCAGAAAAAGGTAAATCGTCCCCGGGCCAAGTTCCTTTCCCCTTGGGAAAATATTACAGGTAAAGGCCATCAGAGTTTATATATTAGTTTTAACAAATCTCATATGTCCAACTCTTGGGAAAATGAAAGTTATTCATAAAAAGCAATTTTATTTATTGAATGGTGGGTAGTGTCGGAGAATTATGCTAGGGTTTGAAAACTAACTCCCCCCCCCCCCTTCTTTCTTATTAGTTTTTGCTTGCAATTTTTTATTCTTTTAGTTCCTTGTGGTATTTCTTTCTTTTTTTCTTGTTTTTCGGGGTGGAGGTGGGGGTTGTTGAATTTTGTTTGTTTGTTGTCTAATATTTGTGTTATTAATTTTGTTTTGGGAGGAGGGGAGTGGTTGGAGAAAAGGGGAGGGGGTTCTAGTTTTGCTTTGAAAATGTTGGGAGGGATGTTATTTTTGTTACTAGTAATTATTGATTGTTTCTTTGGGGGCTTTTGGAACGGTGGTCTTAGTTTAACTTCTACTTCCAGGATGTGGGGAAAAGAGGAAAAGGGGAAAAGGGGGAAAGAGGGGGGGGGGGACTCATTATAAACAATGAGCTTTTTTATGTTGTATACCAAAACGCTAATTTTTTAGATAGCACATGCGACCAGGTTTTAGTATTAAGCTTTAAAATAAAAGATAAACATATTTTACACACCATCTGTGTTCTTGAAAAAGGGTGGCCCCAAGAAAAACACACACAAATAAGATGTGACACATCAATGTGTTCAACGAAGTAAAAACAAAACTCTCCTTTCCTCTGTCTCCTTCTTCTCATTCTCTCTAATACTACAAACACCAACAACATTGATATTCCAAGTCTTAACGTCTGATATATCAACACCAAAGATATCTCTGTGGGTGACTGACTACACCCGCCCGCACTCCATAAAACTGTTAAGTACTCTAAAACTAAAGCTAAAAGATATCTCTTCCAAATTTTTAAAAAAGAAGAAAAAAAAACTAATAAAAAATCGCTCACCGTTCGGGCAAACAGGACAACATTGGTCAGGTTTAAACACGGCGTCTACACATGGCGGGAAGGCACAGTCCTGGATGGCGCACATAGCTTGACCATTGTCCTGGCAGTGGCAGAACTCGCATGGACTTGGGCTGAACTTCTCGCCAGGCTGAAAAAAATAAGTTTATGCTATAAAATTATTGCTCATCTGCATGTTGGTGTTTTTACCCCCCCCCCCCGGCCCCGTGGGTCGTTGGTGGGTGCTCTGGTGTGGTTTGCTCCTTCTTTCCTATCAAACATCTTTCGTCCTTATTTCTCCTCTTTTTTGTGTTTGTTACTCTCTTGTAACACTTATAATCTTCGGCACTTATAAGACCTTATTGTGTTTCAAGTGCCGTAAAACTCTTACTAAAACTAAACTACACCCCTCCCTAAACGGGCGGTTGGTGGGCGCCACTGATAAGTCCTTCTTCTTTACTCCCCTCTTTGATGTTTCTGTCTGTCTATCTTACTTTTTTCCATCACCAAATGACTATTAAAGTGTTTGCATGCTTCTCTTTACTCAAACAAACAAACAAACAAACAAACAAACAAACAAACAAACAAACAAACAAACAATATATCCTTCACCAACACTTTTCAGTTCATTTTGGATGCAGGCTTTGACCCTGTCGGTCACGACAAACCCCAGCTGAGAGGGATGCAACACCCCAGCAGAAAGACCGAGATACTCAATAAAAAGTAATCACACTCGAAAATCAAACACGGGTCCCCTGTGTGCGATGACAAAGTACTTAACTGCTACACCAAAGACGCCAGTTTACTTCGTTTAACATTCTCCTCTATTCGGTTCTTGTTGGGTGGTTGGATGTAAAGGTAGGTTCCGGGTTTTTTTTTTTTTTTTTTTTCGTTTTTTTTTTTTTTAAAGAAGAAGAAGGTTGGATGTAAGTGAAGATTCCATCCTTTTAAAGATTTACGTTTTCTCTACTTCATAACATTTTCCTTGTCGATGGCTGGATGTAACAGCTGGAGGTTTAGATCTAACCTGAGGTTCCGTTCCTGCCATATTATTATAGTTTGATTGATGTAAATGGACGTTCCAGATTAGCCTTACTTCCGTACCATTCCTCTGCCTTTTCTGTTTGTGTAATTTGTTGGGTTTTTGCAAGCAGAAGACCCAAGTTCGATGCTCGTTTGGGGAGAATTTTTATCAAATACTTCTTTCTTTCCGTTGGTTGCATCCCTCTCAGCCCTGGATGGCCCTGACATAAGGCAGGGTAATAAAAACGAGGTTTATTTGTTCTAAATTGAATCGATGTAGACGTAAAAACACCTTCTTTTAAGGGACGAGGGCAAGGTCGGTTCATTTCTCAGAGAAAAAAACCTGGAACTGGATTATTATGAAGTGGTATCCTCGTTGCTGAAAACTTGGAGGCAGGCCCAATTAAATAAATAGATAGACTAAGTCTGAGAAACATTAGTCATTAGCAAAGTAAAAATTCAACAGGTAATGCATCAAATAAAGGAAAGCTGTTTGCTTTTCTCCTTGACACCTCAAGGTGACAAAGGTCGGAACGAGTTTTAAAAACATACTGGCCAATCTGCTGTGCAAAGGTCAGGAAAGATAACTGCGAAGCTGTGGCTGTCAACGTAGGAAACAGCTGGTGTTGTTTCATCGTGCTAAATGGACAGTAGCTTGATTCGGTAACGCATCTGTTAATTTCCCCAAATCTCTCTCTCTCTCTCTCTCTCTCTCTCTCTCTCT